ATCATAGATTATTTTTCTAGGAAAAGTTAAATTTACACGTTAAAAGGTGCATTTACTCACATTTGTGAGTGAAATTTTGTTGATTAAAGATTTTTTTGGTCAAGGATTTTTACCTTTGTTACTGTATATAAGTGATGACTGGATCTGGAGATAAGAGATTTGTTTAGGATTGGAATTTAAATTGATGTATTTAAGTGTATCACTCTACTTTCATTTGCTCATAAACAAGTATAGATTAATATTCTTTCATATTCTAGTTATGTTAAATATAATCATGTAATTTTAAATAACTAATTCTTGTGTAATTTAAAAACCATTAGTAAGGAAAAAAATCACTTTTAGAAGTGACAGTATGTTGAATCCTGCATGACACTTTTAAATAAGGTTTTCTTTTCAAGGAAACACCCATTAATGCATACTAAACACACAAAATAATGGATATCACTGTTTCTTTCCATATATGCATGTATCAACCTTTAGTCATGTCCATATTCCTTTTTCCCTTTTATCCCTGCCTCCCACTGATTTGTTGATCTTCTTTTCCTTCCCCTTCCATAATATTCCCTTAGTATTCCCTCTTCTACTTTCAGTTCATCTCTCTCTCCTTCTCTATCTCTCTCTGTATGAATGAAAACATGATACTTGCCTTTCTGTGTCTAGCTTATATTACTTAACATGACATCCTCCAATTCCAACTATTTTCCTCCAAATTATATCATCATTCTTTTTGGTTGGATAATGCTTCATTGTGTATATATACAATATTTTCTTTAATCCTTTCATAATAGCCCCACAAAAATAAAATACCTAGGAGTTAACTAAAGAAGTGAAGGACCTCTATGATGAAAACCTTAAAAAACTGAAAAAGGAAATTAAAGCAGAACTAAGGAGGTGGAAAAGCCTCCCATGCTCCCAGAATAGGAGGATTAACATCGTGAAAATGGCAATACTGCCCAAGGCTATCTACAAATTCAATGTGATACCTATCAATATCTCCCCTCATTTTTTCAATGAAATAGAAGAAGCAATCCAAACATTCATGTGGAACAACAAAGACCCCAGATAGCAAATACAATCCAGGAAGAACAGTGCTGGAAAAATATCAATACCAAATTTCAAACTCTACTACAAAACCATAGTAATTAAAACAGCTTGGTACTGGCACAAAAACAGATCTGAGGACCAATGGAATAGAACTGAAGACTCAGAAATGAACCCACAGACTCATAGCCACTTAATCTTCCATAAGGGAGCTAAAAAAATAGAATAGAAGAAAGACAGCCTCTTCAGTAAATTGGTTAAACACCTGTAGAAAACTAAAGCTCTCCTCATATATCACCCTACACCAGAAACAACTCCAAATGGATCAAAGACTTCGAAGTCAAAGCAGACACTCTGAAAACATTACAGGGAGGAGAAACTCTAGCGCTCGTTGGCACAGGCTGAAATTTTCTTAATAAAGATCCAGAAACACAACAAATCAAAGAAAGGTTGGACACATGGGATTGCATGAAACTGCAGAGTTTTTGCATGGCAAAGGACATAGCTAATAAGATCAATAGAAAGCCCAAGGATTGGGAGATCTTCACTAGCCACACAACAGACAAGGGCCTCATATCTAAAATATACTTAGAACTCAAAAAACTAAATCCTCCAACAACATATCCATTCATTTCTTAACAAGCATCTATGCTGATTTCATACTTTATCTATTATGAATAGGGCCACAAAGTACATGGTTTTGCAGATATCCTTTTTGTATGCATGTTGACTTTATTTATTCTGGATAGCAATTCTCTGTCAGATGAATAGCCTGCAGAGATTTTTTTCTCCATTCTGTAAGTTCTTTTTCTATTTTGTTGTTGTCTCCTTTGTTGTGCAGACTTTTCTTTTTAATTTAATATATTCCTATTTGTCCATTCTTGGCTTTTATATCTATTTAGGTTATTGGAATCCTATTCAGAAAATATTTACCTACAGCAATATCTTGAATAGCTTCTGCTTTTTTCCTAGCAGTTGCAATTTTGTGTATTTCATTAAGAGCTTTCATCTATTGTAATTTTTTATTGATGTTGTTTGTTTTACAAAGTGAGAAATGAGTTTTGTTTGAATCTTCTCCAAGTTAACAATTTTTCTAGCACCATTTGTTGAAGAGGCTGTACTTTCTTCTTTGTGTCTTTTTGGTTCCTTTGTCAATAATCAGTTTTGTAGATGTGTTGGCTTATTTTTTTTGTCTTTCATCCTGTTTCACTGGTTATATGACTGCTGTTATTCCATTATCATGATTTTCATTTTTTGTTATTATGATGTATAATATTTTGAAATTTTTAGGTATTCTGATGCCTTCTACATTGATCTTTTTTCTCAGGATTGATTTAGCTATTTAAATTGGATTTTGTTTCTAATCCTACAAGGAGTATCATTAGTGTTTTGATGAGGTATGCACAGCATCAGTAGATAGCTTTTGTTACTATTGTCATTTATTTTATTTACTTACATTAATATTTTTATTATTTTTAATTAGTTGTGCAAAGGAGTTGCCATTCAAAAAAGCGGCTTTTGATTCCAGTGTATCTAGCCATTTGAACTGCACTGATTCTCCCAGTCCAATGTAGGAAGGTTTTGCATCTTCTAGTCTTCAGTGTTTTGAATTTTTTTATTGTAAAAGTCTTTCACCCCGAGTTGTTTATTTCAAGTTATTTTATTTTATTAGGGCTTTTGTGAATGGGTTTCTTTCTCAAGGAATTCACTCTTGGTGATTTTTATTTTGCTACTTTGCTGAATTTTTATTCAGTTTTAGAAGGATTTTTACAGAGTATTTTGAATTTTCTACATATAGACCCTATAAATCTATTCTTGCAAATATAGATAGTTTGGATTCTTCCTTTGCTATTTGTATCCCTTTTATTTTACTTGCCTCATTGTTCTGATAAAATTTCAAGTGTTGAGTTGAATAAGAGAAGTGAAAGTGGAAACCCTTTTCTTGTGCTTAATAGTAAAGGAAAGACTTTCAGATTTCTCCATTCAGGATGATTTGTGCTGTGGATTTGTTATTGAATTACAGCCACTCAATTGTAGTAGCCACTCAATTGTATGTGCATTGTTTGTAGCTGCTTTTGAAATGTAGTGTCCAACTTGTATCAGAGTAAGTTTGTATATGGTTCAAAAGGTCTACAATATTTACTACTGAACTCTTTACAGAAAAGATAAACCAACTACTGCCAGTGCATCACATCTTTATTTCTGAATCAGAAGTTAATATAGCTGGATAGGAGGTTGCTATCCAGTAAATAGCAAATAATAAATATTAGAAAATGTGTATCATTCACATATGTGTATATCTATGTGTCTGAGCCTATATGTTCCTAAATTTCCTTATAAACTGGTGCTATACATATTTAACAAAGTAGTTTGCCATATAATATGATAACAACATTACTTATTTTTTTCTTTTAGAAACTTTCAAACACACTTTACATACTGTATTTGTCTTTCAATGTTCAAAATCTTTCAAACACACTTTACACACTATATTTGTCTTTCAATGCTAATTCTTTTTGATGTTCTGCTTGCTAATTCCTTTGTCATTGGAGAAAATAAATATTTTTTCTGATAGTATCTCTTAAAATTCAAACAATTCCATACTTGAAGTTTCATAGACTAGTAGATATGTATACTATTTTCCATATGCACTTGCCTATTACGTAAGCTCTTCAAACATACTTTTCTTCAAGATTATCTTAATCTTTTTATTTTCTTCTGTTTTATCTTACATTCATTAACTTGTTTTCATATAAAGTTTGTTTTTAACTAATATAGCTAATGTACAACAAATGTAGATCAAAAGTAATATTTTAAAAATTAAAACATTAATATTAAAATATGACCCAAGATAGTATACTGTAACTTTAATTATTCTGCTACAATTTTAAATCCCATTTTCTTTTATACTATTTTTTAAAATCAAGTAAGAACTAAAAATACTTATTCAATAGATATACATAGGTCTATATATCTTAAGTAAGGAATATATATGTTTATGCTTATATTCCTATCTATACATAGTGTTGTGAATTTACATGATAACATGCTTTATGGCTGCCTACCAAGCCATTTTGCACACTGTATAAATTTGTACTGTATGATATTTTCTTTTTTTCCATTTTCTATATATAAGAGGAATATAGTATTCCTATGAAATTACCTAATAAATAGTGTATTTTAAATTTTTACTCTGTTTGATAGGATTTATTCATAAAATTTAGTTCCCATTCCAGTGAAAGATTTTAAAGCCATACTTGATCATTTTTATGAGGTAGCACCAGTTCAGGGAGCATTGACCTCATTTTATACTATGCTTACCATTTCACCTCCCACCTCTTTCCATTCTATTTTCTTTGTAAATTCATTTCAGTAATATTTTATGCCTTTACTGGCATAGTATCTTGTACAAAATGTTATTGTAAAGCATTTTTCTTGATCCTTTCTAGAAAATTTAACTTCAAAAGTTCCTGATAACCAGCTCCACAAGTATGCTGAGACAACCTGTCTTAATATGTAGCTTAATTTTATGATTTAGCTTCTAATTTCATCTTTAACTCAATAGACTTAAAATATTTATGCAAGTAAATATGATGAGTTGTAAGTCTAAATCCTTTTATTATTAGTCAAATTTTTGTGTTATCAAAGACATTCTTTTTGCACATAGATAATTCCAGAGTGTTTTCCATCAAGTTTGGAGGATTTGTTTTCTTCTCTTTCAGGTCATATATATTTTATTCAGTTAAAATCACTTAACATAATAATTAGTCATGCTTTTATTTACCACATTGTATACTTTAAATAAATCTAAAAAACACATGGCATTTAATTTATATATACTACTTTGAATCAAAATAATGTATCAGTGTAGCATTTCTTCTTTTATACCTCCTATAAGTAGGACTCAGAAAAAAAACTAAACTGAACATTAATTTTATGGATTTTTTTCTACTCAATAGGTGCTATGGATATAGAGGAGAGAAATCGCCAAATGAAAATTAACAAATACAAACAGGTAGCTGGATCAGACCCCAGACTGGAACAAGATTACCATTCGAAGGCAAGACAATTTTCTTTTTAAAAGTTGTAAGATGATCAGTCATATGAAACCTCTAGATTTCTTTCACTGAGTGCAAATTAGCCAAGACAGAAACATATAAAGCAAGGGCCCCTTGAAATTATTAAGTGTTCAAATTTATTATGTGCTTGTATCTCAGACTTTAAGGATAGATATTATCATTTCAAAGCAAAACCCCACATTATTGTGTTATGTAGGAGATCTAGAGCTAAACAACAAATCTTATAGGGTTGTTTTCATTTTATAAAACTTATAACTCTGGGGCTGGGAAGGTGGCTCAGTGGTAGAGTGCTTGCCTTGCATGCATGAGGCCCTGGATTCGATTCCTCAGCACCACATTAACAGAAAAAGCTGGAAGTGGTGCTGTGGCCCAAGTGGTAGAGTGCTAGCCTTGGGCTGAAGAGCTGAGGGACATGCCCAGGCTCAGAGTTCTGGCGCCAAGACTGGCAAAAAACAAAACAAAACAGGAAACTTATAATCCTTGAAAAATGTTTAAGAATTTCTGTTATCATCTTCATTTTCTTAGATATTTTTCCTTATATCATTTAATTGAATTTGGTTTATTACTGTTATTAAAACAAAATACATATTATTAATATTATTATTAGGAGTTCAAAAGTTCTTCTGTTGTTGTTGCCAATCCTGTGGCTTGAACTCAGGGCCTGGGCACTATTCCTGAGCTTCATTTGCTCAAGGCTAGCATTCTACCACTTGAACCACAGTGCCACTTTCGGCTTTTTCTGCTTATGTGGTGCAGAGGAATCAAACCCAGGGCTTCATGCATGTTAGGCAAGCACTCTACCACCCAGCCCAGTTCAAAATTTCTTTTAGTAACCATATTTTGGCAGGACTGAAGTTTGAGCTCAGGATCTCAAATTGAGTTACACTTCCAGCCCTGCATTTTGTTGGCTATATTTTTGGAGATGAAATCTAACCAACTTCTGCCTGAGTTGTGTCAAACTGCAAAGTTCTGGATCTCAGCTTCCTGAATAGCAAGGTTTGAGCGACTGGTGCCCAACAAGAATTTCTTTAAGCTTATTTAATTAGGTGTAAGTGGAGTTATGAGATCTAACAAAGGAGGAAGTAAAGAATATTACATTTTAATGATCAAGACATTTTTGGGTGCACAATACTATTTTATGTCATGAGTATTGTGTATACTATGAGTATCCTTGAATTTTTGTGCTCAAGGCTAGCACTCTACAACTTTAGCCATGGCTCAACTTAAGGCTTTTTTGGCAGTAAATTTTAGACTAATATTATTGGAAATAAATAAAATCACTGAATTTATATAGCTACAGCTAAACTGATGAATGGCTAAGTGTTCATGTTTTATATAGTCATAAATGTTTAAAAGTAATTTTATCAGATGTTGGGAAAAAGAAAATAACAAAATATGTGAAAGTTGTTTTAATTATTCAAATATTAATTATTATTACTGTTATGGTCCAGAGTTATTTTCCTTGGTTCAGAACTTTTTTCTATTGTGTCAAGTATAAAATAATTAAATTATAAAATCTAACAAAGGTTAAAAATAGGAAGTTTGAATAAACATAAATTTTCAAGTCAGGTTTAGTGTTAGCCAGCCTGTAGTAAATAAGCCAACATAATATTTTCTCTGATACAAAGAACAGTAGTGTATCAGACAGACTTACATTTAGCTATTCATAATAAAAAAATGGCAAAATTTTCTAAATAAGAGACTTTCTTTTTTCCATGTAAAAGAAATCCAAACAGAAGCCCAAGACTTGTATTAGTACTTATAGCACCAAGCCTTCTGAATTGCAGGTCCATTTTCACAGCATGGCTACTGCACTGAGAAGTTCATACTCAAATTATCAGAATAAGAAGGAAGGCCAGCCAAGCCAGCCCACTGAGTTAGAAAAGTCATTGCTCTCCTCAACTCTTGTTCTCAATTCCTGCTCAACGGTAAAAATTGACTAATGATCACCCTAATTACAAAGGATCCTGAAAAATGAAGTTGTTTTATTTTGCTCTTGGTTTTAGACCAGAAAAGAGAGTTTGGATTATTTTAGTAAAAGGACAGGGAAGGAGAAAGCATATTGGGTAGGCAGCCACAAGTAGCTTCCCTAGATAAGTAGATATTACATATTCTGATTACCAACATGAAAGACCAAGAACTCACAACTCTCAGTTGGCTGAGGTGATATTGAGGTGATTTTTGTTTCCATTACATGAGTAAGCAAAATTGCCTGAACTGATTAGAATGGAAGATATTGGGGAAGAAGTCAAAGATAACCTCCAATTTATCTTTGGATACCATGGATTCTGAGCCTGATAGTGCAGGAAGTTAGGGGCTATAGAGACAGGATGAGCTATGAATTTGGTTTTGACCATATTGATTTTGATGGACTTGCCAACCATACTTCAGAGATATCCTGTTAGCACGTATGAATATAGGTCTAAAGCTTGGGAGAGAGGTAAGGAAAAAAGTAAGTATCACTTATTCATTATGTGATAATTAAAATGAGCACAGGGTGATGAACTTTTTTGACCAAGGGCCATTGCTTAACATCAGTCATGAGCCATACAAAACTAGGCAGATGGCCACAGGTAGCCAGTAGTGAGGTAGACTGGAAGCATTCCTGTCTGTCCAGTCATATCCAGTAATGAGATAGACTGGAAGCATTCCTGTCTGTCCAGATAATTTGTGGACCTTATATAAACTTCAGTTAGAGATTCCCACCCCTGTGTGTACAATGTGTACAATGAAAATAAAAGAGGGTTTAAGATAGTATTTTAAGGAAAATGGAATCTAATTAGGAAAAGTTAGACTAGGAAGAGATTAAGAAGGAACAGTCTGGGATATAGAAAAGAAACGACGAGTAACAGTATCAGAGATGCCATTACATGGGGGTTTCAATAAGAGAGAAAAAAGAAAACCAAAGATTTCATTGAGTGGTAAAATAGATTTTTGGTTTTAGGACAGTTTTAGTGAATGGTAGGTTAGAATGGGTGAAAAGTTACTGATTCTGGAGAATAAATGGTAAACAAATTTTTGTTAAAGGAAATAGCATAAATTCTGTGTGGCAACCTAAGATCTCTAAACCTAGACTCTCATTGCAGAACTAACATAGGTCCTGTCTCTGAAAATTGTGAACAATCAATAGAAGTAAATAAATAGGGCTGGGAAGATGGCTTAGTGGTAGAGTGCTTGCCTAGCATGTGTGAAGCCCTGGGTTCAATTCCTCAGTACCACATAAACAGAAAAAGCCAGAAGTAGTACTGTGGCTCAAGTGTTAGAGTGTTAACCTTGAACAAAAGAAGCTGTGGGACAGTGGCCAGGCCCTGAGGTCAAGACCCAGGACTAGCAAAAAAAAAAAAAAAAAGAAGAAGAAGAAGAAGAAGTAAATAAATAATGATGCTTCTTAAAGATATGCTGATCACTAATTGACATAGTGTTTCCACAAAGACAAACCTTTTGGCAAGTCATAATCGTCTACAAATTCTCCAGGAAAAATTATGTACTTTATTAACTTTTGCCCAAACCAGAAATACTTGGTTGACTCCTTAATAGTTTTTAGATAAATGCTAATGGCTACCTTTACTCTGATTATGGTTTTTTGACCTTAAGTTGTTATTGCTGTTATGTGCTGTTGCACATTTCAAAGAATTCTCTGGATAACTAAATTATATATACTTTATTTTCCTTTGCACATTGTCTCTTGAGAATTCTTAGTGTAATAATGGCTGTGTTTGTAAACCCCACACCTTGTACTATATTTCACTTAAGAATGAGCACTTGGTAAAATAAAATCTGCCATGGTGGCAATTTTTATAATTCAGAAAGTAGAAAGTCTGTTAATTAGAAGCTCCAATGGCCTAGACGATGGCTCAACTGATAAAGCACCAGCCTTGAGCAAGGAAGCCAGTGAACAAAAGTACAAAACTCTAAATTCAAGCCCTACTACGGGCAACAAAAACAATCAAGCAAGCAAACAAATCCTCCCCACTCTTAAAAAGTTGTTAAATATTTACCACAATACCACTGTCCACATTCCTCATAGATAATGATGTAATTATGTGATTAAACTATATTATGACAGTGCCTTGTACTCTGATTTGATGCTTCATGCAGAGGATAATACTTCAGTATGTTATCCAGATAAAGATAAACTATTCTATTCATCTTGATTTATTAATTGTTCATTGATTTCCTATTATATGCCAAGCACTGATCTAAATAACAGAAATACAAAAAAATGAATAAAAGGTATCTTCAGGGAGTTTATAATCTACAAAGGTGTTTGGGTAATTAGAGAGACAGCATGAATAGTAGTAGACAAAACAAAAAAATACACATGATGGGGCTGAGAAGGTGGCTCAGTGGTAGAGTGCTTGTCTAACATGATGAAGCCCTGGATTTGATTCCTCGGTACCACATACACAGAAAAAGCCAGAAGTGGCACTGTCGTTCAAGTGGTAGAGTGCTAGCCTTGAACAAAAGAAGCTCAGGGATGGTGTCCAGGCCCTGAATTCAAGCCCCAGGACTGACAAAAAAAAATGATACCACATTATAAAAACAGTTATGAAGGCTTAATTTTATAAGCACTTAAAGCAGTGATTAATTGTCCTTAAAGGAATAGAGGATGACTTTACAAAGGAATTGATATGTTAACTGTGCCTTCAAGGATTATTAGACCTTATGAAGAGGGTTTTCTGCTTGGTTACAGGAAACCATTTCATCTGGCTTTAGCTATCACAGAGCCTATCTCAAAAGTGTTAGAAGGATTAAATAGAATAATCTGCATAGATGATTTAAGGCTGTGTCTTTTATAACTAAGTAGAAAATACACATGTAATTATTATAGCTAGCTTTGTAATTGTGCTAACTATAGATGTCATCATGCCTACGGACCATCCAAAATGAAAACTTGATTCTGTGATCTCCAGTAAAAATTTTAGTTCCTTGATTCCTTTCCAGGTAGAGGCATTATATATTCAGTAGGCTTTGCAGTACC